TCGAGTCTACTCAGTTTATTATGATGTCATAATACTGTAATAAACTGAGTAGACTAGATGCATGCCCGAGCGCCACGCGAGAGGGTAAAAATTACAACATGCACTTTCGGGCAGCCTATGGGTAGGGTCGGGAAACCGGAAACCCACATATTTTTTTTTTGCCTAACATTTCCCATCTCACTCACTATTTTAGATTCACGATTTCTTTTTTTTTCATTTGCATGACGATCGATGCCATGTTGACATTCAAGTACTTTTCGTCCCAGAATCATGTAGGGAACTCCATCAAAGTCGAGCCTTTCTTGATCTGTATGGCGGTTTTTGGGGGTCCTCAAAAAAAACTTTACGTTTTGTCAAATCTAGTAATATATAAAAACATTATAAGCAGGATTATAAGCCATCTTACGTCTACACTTGATTTCTTTCAGACCAATATTTCATGCGCCTTAGCAAGAGAAGCCTGCCTTGAACATACATTACATCGTTACCAAAGTACAACGTACACATATTAAGTTTATGTGAGTAGTTGATAACGTTTATTATTACAAATACATTAATAACTTAGAACGAGACAAGATATTGAAAAACAAAAACGCCTTCTTGGTTATAATCAGTAGTTTGTTAAATGGTTTCATTGACAACAAACTTAAATTGACGATTTTCTCATCATACTACAAGTTTGATATTCAAATATAGTTATCACAAGTTTCAAGTTTTAATAATTCACACTATTTAGCATATACATTACAGGAATATTCAAAACATAAATTCTGTATAAAAGAAATATTTAAATGTAAATATTCAAATTGTGTATGGCAGTCAAAGCAGCATAAGCTATCAAGTTGACCACCGGAAATATATTTATACGTTTCATACCTTGATTAGTCTTTCCAAAATTCTTCGAATAAAAACTCGCATACCGCGTGGTCGTACGAATTTCAAAATCTTTAATAACCTTAACCGCCGTCTCAAAATCCTTCGCATAACCCAATTCGCTATTTACTAAAACAAAATCATGTGTATTCTCCATATTTGATATCACACATACAACAGAATCAACGCAGTGAATATGGTTAATTGCATATGGCAGTAACAGCACGGAAAAACGTCTGCCCATGCGTCAACATTACTGAAAGCTGTATTACAGCCTAAAAGCAGTGTAAAGCACTGTAAAGCAGCCTAAAGCACTGTAAAGCAGCGTAAAGCACTGTAAAGCACTGTAAAGCATGGTAAAGCACTGTAAAGCACGGTAAAGCACGGTAAAGCAGCGTAAAGCACTTTAAAGCAGCCTAAAGCACTGTCATGCACTGTAAAGCAGTGGAAAGCAATGTAAAGTACCGTAAAGCACTGTAAAGCAGCGTAAAGCAGCGTAGAGCACCGTAAAGCACTGTAAAACAGCCTAAATCACTGTGAAGCACTGTAAAGGAACGATGCACGTCAACCTGAAACATGGTCAATTTTGCATGTGCGTGAATTTTTTGGACGGGGGGTTGCGTGAGGTATTTTTCGGCCAGGGGGGCTACGCGAGTTTGAGAACACAATGAAAAAAACGCAAAAGGACTGGACGGGTACTTTTGAGTCATCCCATTTAGCATTCACCGCTCTGCCATCGATAATTTGAAAGTCCATCAAACATTTTAACATTGGTAAAACAGTTGAAATGTAAGCTTTTAAATTAAGAGCAAATGCCTCAGTGAATGTTTACGACATAAAATGCTAGTGCTATTTTTATATTCAAAATATGTTTCTGCTTTTTGCAGATTTAAAAAAGAAGCAGGTAGGTTTATCTGATAGCTGATACTTTTTTACAAGATAGCATAAATCAGGGTTGTCATTTGGAAAATCTCCGCTTATTAAACAATGTTGCATCTTGGTAAAATCCTTTAACCACACAAGCAAATGAAGGTCTATGGTTCCCCTTTTCTGAAACTTGCAACAATAAAAAAGGTCTTGATATTTTTTGTTTAGCATTGCCACTATAATTAAAAACATGATTCAACCATTTTTTACTATTTGATCTGCATAAATAGCCTCTGACAATTTGGATTAATACATTTACAATGTGAGAAGTTTCGTGACCTGCTAACTTAGTTGGTCCTTTTCCTGTTTGCTGTCTAATTCTTTCTATCCATGACTGAAACAGGAATGGATAAATACATCCGGGAGAGCATATTGATCTATGGCGTCTAAGACAAAGTGATGTCGCCATTGCCAAAACGTTGGTGAAAAGGATTTCATGTCCAAAGAGCGTGTTGGTGAGCATTTTAGTAATTGGGTAGTGTTAATTGCTCCACTTACAGTTTTAAGCAGCCATCTGTCATACTGAAATAACTCAAAATGTAGACCATAGTCAATTGTTTGCAAATGTAATTTGATGTTGAATGACAATTTCCTGCTAGGTTGCAATTGTTATTGGAAATCGCACTTTCACACCATTTCGTAAGTGGATACAAACTTGGCCAAAGGCCACATTCAATTATTTATGTTTCTTTAAAATTAAATAGATTTAAACTTTCGTTGTCATGAATTATGCTGCCACGTAATTGAAGAAAATGTGATCAACAAGTTGGGTCAGTCAACTTATTAATTTTGTCATTTACAGACTGTGGTGATGGTCTTAATTTTATAACAACATTTCAATTTATAATTTGGCACTCATGTTCTTCCAAAAATAAATAGAATGGTCTTAAAATTGTAATATCATCTGCAGTAAACCATCTTAGGCATAACAGAATATTTATCGCTTCCTTTTCTTAACACTATGTCAGCAAGATATCCTGCAACGATTAGCTCTGTTTTCTGTGCGCGAACATTGTGCAATTGACCAAGTCAGACAGCAACTGGAATAATTATGGCAATGTGCATCTTACGCAACGAACATGCCGATTTATTAATTTTTTAAAACAATGAGATAATTATTAACATAACAAATTATAAACCGAAGTTAATTATTAAAAGTTCGCACAGAAAAGGTGGGGTAATAAATACACCACGAGTCTCCTTGGGTAAAGGAGGCATACCCCATCCAATTGTTACAAGGTATCAGCAGACACAGTGAGGTTAAAACCTATAAAAACAACTCCAAAGCGAAATCAGTGCGTGGATTATTACTGTCATTATTGAGCAAAAACATGGTAAGCGACCGCCGACAGTTTGTGCCCATGCGTTAAACTGCCAGGGGACCGCCAACCTGCTAAAGCGAACGGTTGTGCAGAAGCCTTGCCCATGCGTTAGCCTCACAGAGAACGTAAAACAGTGATTAAGTGACACATACATTTCTAGTATCTTAACACGCACATTCCTATATTATATCAAGTCTTGCCCTTGCATCGACTTGACAAAGTGTACTAATTACTAAACGGGTTTATCAACAGGCAGCCACAATCGATCCCTACAAAAAGCCCAGCCTGTATTAGTCGAAGTGTCTGATTTAAGTCACAAACTAGGAGCACGAATATACTTGCGGAAAGCGTCGGATTTCCAACAGCCCATTAGTGGTATTTGGGCATCGAAAAAACAAGCGAATGTAGCCGCGCCGATGCGAGAACTATGTCCTTTGTACCTGTTTGCATCGAGACCGCACGTGCGAAATATTATAGCTAAATGGTCTGTGAACATTTTGCGTGAAATTGCATGCCCGTCACGAGTTTGAAAAAGAGGGCCATCAGCTAAACCACGATGTGCAAAATAGTCTAGTAAGCTCTGCACTGGGCATACGTCTGAACGTCGTTGAAGAGTGAGCGAGACGTTAGCTTGGTTGTAAGAATGCTTAAAATTCAAAAATGTTATTTTTAAACCGCCGACGTTCCCCGCATTATCCACGAGTTGAACGACCTGCCTCAATTGCAGTACCTCTGGTGACCGTGGACAACAAGTGATTTCGCCAACTCGCAAAAATGCAAAAAATGCGGTCGTGCACATAGCTTTGAACAAGTACCCCCGATACTCACTCGAACATATAGTTGGAGTTTGCTGTAAGACGGTGCGAAGGATAGGGAGAGTTATGGGCAAGCGTGTATCAATGCATGACCCAAGCTTACCATAGCCTTTCAACATTTCGACAATCCAAAAAACTTTAGTTGGGTCGTTCACCCCTGCAAGACGATGACAATATCCCAGTGCAGAAACGTACGTGTTGGCCGTCGAGGCCGCATAATTGCGTTGAAACATGTACGAAATAAATAGGCTTAAGTTGGCGGGCGATATAGGCAGTGAGACTAAAGCTGAGTAAAAAACTGCACTTGAAAATTGGCTATATAGTTTCCAGGCCTGGCGATAAGTAGGGACCGACGATGGCTGCAAACTAGATTGAAGTAATTTAGTTGTTAGAGCAGCCAGTTGTACGGGAGTAGTTGGGCTGGTATGACCCACTACGTACACCCACCGGAGCTAGCTGTTTGAACTTCGAAACCTGCAATCGAGATAAAGCGTCAGCTAAAACATTTTTGACACCCAGTACATGGCGAGCGCGGAATAAAATGTTAAATTTCAAACAAGCCAGCGCCAGTCGGCGAACAAATATCATAACAGTCACATCTCGTGAAGTGGCTTTATTTATAATATCGACCAATTTTGAGTTTCTCGCTGTCTGAGTTTACGAAATAAGCGAGAAACGGGTTTCTCATGCTGGGGTGCCCTGTGTTAGGTCACATGAGTTGTATAAAGTCACGTGATAAGTGACTTTGGCATCTTTTAGTTTTTTGCACATCGTATGCAGTTATATTTTTTAGCAGTGCCTTTATTTCGTATATATTTGCATAAAAATTAATCGGAAGTACATTGGTAGTGATGGGGAGTAAACGAGTTGCTGCCCTTCGACGCTTGGAAGCACACAACGCCAGTCCAGGGGAATCTAATCGTCGCGAGAGAGAGTCACATAGTTCCCGCCATACTCATAGTCAACATGAGTCAGCTCGTTCACCTTCGAATAGTCGTGATCGCGAGGACCGTTTAACGTCAAAGAGACGCTCGGAAGAAAGACCACGGTCACAAGAAAGTCGGGACGAAGCGCCTAGTTGGGCAAAGGAATTGCTGGCCCTAAATAAGGATACTGATCGCCGCCTAAAATCGCTTGAAGGCGAGGTCAAAGAAAACGGGAAACGTGTTAGTCGAAAGCGGGAACGCTCGCCAGTTCCAGATTTTAAATACAAGCGAAATCGCACACAATACGAGTTCAACAGTAAGGTATTAAATACGATTGAAACTGCGCTCGAGGCGTCAGACGATGAGGAACGCGATCAAGCTTTAACCGAAGGTAAGACTCTTATTTGTGAAAGGAATAAGCACATAAAATTAGCAGAGAAATTCGGGTGGGAAACGGTAGAGTGCTATGTTGACGAGCCCTTAGCGAGCGATTCGGAGGACGAGAAACGCATACGGCGCGCTATAAAAGAGGGTAAGGCGTTGAAAGAGGAGAAAAGAAAGTCCCTGAAGTTTACAAAAACTTCGTCTACGGCTTCACGCGTTTTCTCGACCGACGCGAATCGAACGGAATCGAGTAATCGTATTATTCTGAAGAAATCAGGCGGTACAAGTTTCGCACGTGACGGGAATTGTTTTCGCTGCGGGCGTCCAGGACACCTTGCCCGGTTTTGTAAAAACAACATCGGAAGTCCAAACCCAGCTAAAAACAATTAGTAGGGATGTATCCCCGGAAACAGACAGTCATATTAACAGTAATAGCAATTTTAAAAACGATATCGATGAATTACAGTTGGCTTGTTTAAATAAACGTTTTGACAATGACCAATTGGTCGCTGACGTTAAAGGTCGCTTGAAAGCAAACATTTCATTCTGGGAAAACATTGGGGCTTCAAATTGGGTTTTGGGAATTATTCGTAATGGTTATGCACTACCGTTTGTGGAACAACCACACGCAGCTGAGTTCACTAATCACAAATCAGTTGCACGTAACGAGGCTTTTGTGACTGGTGAGCTGAAACGCTTATTAAAAATTGGATGTATAAGGGAAGTCTCGAAAAGTGAAGCATGTATTATATCGCCCCTTGGGGTGGTGTCTAACTCAGATAAGAACCGGCTGATTTTAGACTTGCGTTTTGTTAACAGTCTCCTAAAATCCTATCGTTTTAAATATGAGGATTTACGAACTTTTAGAGATATATTTCAATCAGGTGACTGGTTCTTTAAATTCGACTATAAGTCTGGATACCACCATGTTGATATTCTCCCTCAACACCAGCAATATTTGGCATTTGCATGGGATGAAGGACATGCCAAGAGATACTTTGTTTTTACTGTACTCCCATTTGGTTTGGCTACAGCCCCTTATGTTTTCACCAAAATCCAAAAAGCTTTGGTAAAACATTGGCGTGCACAAGGAATTAGAATTTTTACATACTTGGATGATGGTATTGGTGGGGGGCCGACAGAGGAAGTTTCAAGAAAAATTTCAAGAAAAATCCAAAGCGATGTGGAATGCAGCGGATTCTTGTGGCACCCTGATAAAAGTGTATGGGAGCCATCCCAGCAAGGGGAAATACTAGGATTTCTAGTCGACTTAAAGAAAGGGTATTTCCGAGTACCAGAACGTAGAATTAGGTGCTTACAACACAAGTTGAAGTACATTGCACAGTCGTCTAAATCTACAGCTCGAGATATAGCCCAAGTTACAGGGACAATTGTGTCGATGGGTTTAGCCTTGGGACCAGTCGCCCGCCTATGGACAAGGGGGTTATACAGATTTATCATGCAAGCCAGCACCTGGTGGGAACATAATAAGTTAGATGAGGATGCTACAAGGGAAATCGTCTTCTGGAAGGACAACTTTGAAATATGTCATGGCCAACCAATCTGGCTGGCCAACCCAAAACCAGAGATCCTCACCTACTCTGATGCAAGTAATACCGGCTGGGGAGGCTACAGTGTTGAGCTGGGTGGTAGGATTGCCAAGGGAAATTGGTCACCAGATGAAGAACTCAAAAGCTCGACATGGAGGGAATTACGGGCCACCCATCTCCTATTAGCATCTTTCCTTCCAGAAATCCAAGGAAAAGATGTGCGGCATAGGACCGATAACAAGAATGTGGAGTCAATACTGCAGATTGGTAGCCGAAATCGAGAGCTGCATGATGAAGCAGTGGCACTATACCAGCTGTGTCACCAATTTGGTGTGCGCTTGCAGGCCGAGTGGATTCCACGAGAATTTAACAGCGAGGCTGACCAGCTGTCACGTGAAACAGACATTGATGACTATATGCTTAATCCAACTTACTTTGCTGCATTGGACATATTGTGGGGACCACACACAGTGGACAGATTTTCTTCATTTCGCACACGACAAGTCCCCAGATTTTGCAGTCGATATCTCAATCCATTGACAGAGCATGTGGACGCATTTACAGTGAGTTGGTCAGGTGAGATTAACTGGATTTTCCCACCCCCATATCTTATTCCAAAAGTTCTCCAACACATGAAGTATGGGGGCGAAGATGGTACCTTGATTGTTCCCCTTTGGTCCTCTGCCCCTTGGTGGCCACTTCTAACCACTGATGGTCACTATCCTCAACCTTGGATCCTTGACTGGATGGACCTCCCTCTTAGGGACGACATGTTTATCCCCGCAGTGGCTGAGAGTTGCCTATTTGGGTTCGGAATACCATCATACCGGGTATTAGCTCTAAAGATCTGTTTCAGTCAATCCATCTTGATTAAAGATTATGCCGACATTCGACCTTTTTTGTAAAACTGAGCAGCACAGACTCATTAGCCTGGCAGACAGATCACTTCTTAGCCTGTGAGAGGCATTGAATAAGGAGTAAGCCTGTGAGAGGCATTGCATGAGGAGTTAGCCTGTGAGAGGCATTACAACATAGAGCATGACCTGTGAAAGGTATTGCAACTTAACCTGCGAGAAGCATTGCACATGGAGCATGGCCTGTGAGAGGTATTGCATGCTGGCCTGCGAAAACACTTTGGTGTTCAGAACATGGTTGGGGCAGTAGATGTCAGATCGCCTGTGAGTGGCATTTCTCAGCGTAGTCGGTAAGAACATAACAGTTCATAACACAACTCTCCCTATATTATAGGTCATGTATCCAGGAAAAATGCCGAATCGAGAAAAGGAAAAATGTGGAAAGGTATATGCCTAAAAGACCCAGAGTTGCGTTCGTTAGCAGGTGACATACCAGGAATTCTCCTACGTGATCGAGCCCCTCGAACAGTGCGTAAATATCAGGATTCCTTCCAACGTTGGCATACCTGGGCAGAAAGCAAAGATCTCTGTTCTCTACCCGCAACTGGTCAAGAGATAGCTCTGTATGTGGCATTCCTTTTACGAACAGCTAGGACAATGTCCACTATTCATTCGGCAGTATATGCGATTGCTTGGGCACATAAGAAGGCGGGAAAGAAATCCCCAACAGAACACACACTGGTTAAGCAGATGATTGAAGCTAGTCGGCGAATTGTGGGGCTGAAACCTGTGAATAGGAAACAGCCACTGGAGGCCAAACATGTGAAAGCTATCATTGTTAAGTTTGGTGACGGGAATCTGGGACAGCTGCAGATAGCAACATTAATCACTTTGGGATTTAGTGCATTTCTGAGATGGGATGACTTGTCTAAGTTAGAGAGGCAAGACATTGCAATGGAAAATGATCACATGAAAATATTTCTGGTCAAGCGGAAGAATGACCAGTACCGGGAAGGATCTTGGATTCTTGTTGCCCGCTCAGGCAAAATATCATGTCCAGTTAAGTTGCTTGAGAAATTTCTACGAATGGGGAAACACAGCCAACAGGATAAACTGTTCAGAAAGATTTCTCACACATCTAATGGAATGCAACTGAGAAAATCCCCCTTGAGTTACAGCAGAGCTCTGGAACTATTCAAGATGCAGATATCTAGTATTGGTTTGAATCCATCTGCTTATGGCTTACACAGCTTACGTTCTGGTGGTACATCCGAAGCAGCCGCCTGGGGTATACCTGATCGTCTGATCCAGCGACATGGGGGATGGAGATCTGAGAAATCTATGAACATGTACATTAAAGAGACACATAACACCCTATTACGAGTTTCACAGAGCTTAGGCTTATGAAGGATATAGTACGAACGATATAGTACGAACGGTAGTCAAACCACTATGCTTTTAACTTGCGGTGGCAGAACAAGTGGCAACCCAGTGTGAGAATTTGAGTTTCTCGCTGTATGAGTTTACGAAATAAGCGAGAAACAGGTTTCTCATGCTGGGGTGCCCTTGTGTTAGGTCACATGAGTTGTATAAAGTCACGTGGTAAGTGACTTTCGCATCTTTTAGTTTTTTGCACATCGTATGCAGTTACCCAACCCACCCTCCCAGATTGGTGGATACTAGAGTTTGTTTTTTTTTTAGTTGTATATAGTTTTTGTTTAGATTATGAACTGAACTGTTATCCGGGATTTGTTAATCATGTTTTTTATAAACAGATAGGTAAATAATAAAGGCACTGCCCTGCTTGCGGTGGCAGAACAAGTGGCAACCCAGTGTGAGAAGTAAGTTTTCAGTATTTTGTATATCACAACATTCTAAATGTTGGACAATTCTTTTCTTAGATGAGGTTTGCTCTGTTTTGATATTAGTGCCAAAGCTGTTTACTTCAACGGCATCTTTGCAAGGACTGATATCAGCACGCAACATTCTCTTGAAGTGAGAGCCTGCCATTTTGCTAGAAAATACAGTCTGCAGTTCTTTCTTTAGAGCATTCATTTTATCTAGACTGTGTTTGAACCTTGTTATGCGACTGTAACAATTTGCCTTGCATATAAATAGATCTGTATTGCCTGAGTAACATTTTAGGTCTACTTCCTACGCTAACCGTATAGTTTTGATCAGCCAATCGTGTGCCAAAAATGCATATTTTATTCTCTTTTTTATCGACCTTTTTTGAACAAATAAAACACAAGTTTTAACCCTTTATTTGGTGCAGTTGCCATATGGCAACAAATGTTAATTTATGCCTGCTGTTGTTGCTATGCGACTAAATGAATATATCCCATAACACAATGCAAGCCGAATACTTATTCTCAAGATGGCTGCCAAAGATTTGAGGTATTTGCACATGGTAGAGGAAAATTAAGGCAAATTTCGTGCCATTTTAGCTAAGTGAGGTATGTAGATTTCAATTTATTACTATTCGACTTCTGTACATTTTGTTTAGTTTGTTTTTTGGGAGATTTTAAGAGTATTACATATGGATTTCGAATAATAATTTCGAGAGTATGAACAATGTTTATTAGAGCTCAGAGGTTCCGAAATATATTTGTTGCCATATGGCAACATTGCCAAGTAATGGTAACATGACACTCATTATTATGATACATATTTATATTCTTTCAGAGGGTAAATAGCTTGGTCTAAGTCACAAAATCATATAGATTTCATATGGTGCTATTGAAACAACACTTTTAGAGTCTATTTAGACCAGAGATTTTGTATTTTTAAGCACAATATTTCTTTGTTCTGATTTTTGAGGAGCAAATTTGGGTTATTTATGTTATATTTTGTCACTAACTGCTTGTAAAGCCACAAGACATATATTTTTTGCAATGTAAACACTTAAAAAATAACCCCTGTCCCTATTTTGTATGGCGTGCATTCTATAAATAGAGTATTACATTTTAGGAGGTGTATACAAATATGTCAATGTCAGCGAAGATTGATGTCGATTATACATTGTTGATGTTATATGAATGGCAATGATTCAGATCTGTCTGACTTGAGCTCAGAAGATGATGAAATTTATCAACCAGATCTAGGATCGAATGTCGGTAGTCGAGTAAGGGAGTGATGACAATGACAACGGCAGTAATGATGGTGAGGAGGGCACAAACCAGGATGAGCGACATGTGTTCCGCTGGAGAAAAAAGACATTGCCTTTCAAAATGTAGATTTTGATATGTAGAAAAGATGAAGGAGTTGATCAGTGGACACCATTCAGGTACCGGTATTTTAAATATTTTTGGAGTGACAATCTTACGACTTTAGTTACCAAACAAACAAATAACTAGAGCGTGCAGAAAAGTGGGGCCAGTGTGAATACTTCTCCTAATGAAATGGAGCAGTGCATATGAAAATGAAATGGAGCAGTGGATATAGGAATGCATATGAAAATGGGAGTTGTTGCTCCACCATCATACATCATATTGGTCCAACGTGTTACGCTATCCGTTGATTGCAGACACAATGCCAAACGGTTTGAGAAACTAAAACGTTATCTCAATTTTGTCGATAACATGTATCACATTGTGGTAAAAACTTACAGACGGTACATCAAAATCTTCTGGCATTGCATTGACATATGCAAGGTCAATGCATGGGTCCTCTACTGCTGTCATTGTAACCAATAAGGTATCCCGAAGAAGAACCAGTAGTCACAACTGAAATTTGCGCTTGAGCCGGTTGACTTGCTGATTGCGGTGAACAAAGCTGTACCATCAACCGACAATGTTGGCGAGCCTGGTAGGTCACCAAAGAGAGAGAGTGTGGAGGTACGACTCCATGTTGGGGCGAAAGCCTGTCACACCGAGTCCTAATAACAACGCAGTTAGAACAGACCAATTTGGTCACTGGCCAGTAGTGTATAATGACAAAGGATGATGCTGAAAGTGAAAATCTGGTTTTCCATAGTGCACTGCAGTAAATGCAAGGTTTGCCTATGCTTTACAGGCCAAAGAACTGTATTATTGAATACCATAATGGACTATAAACACTGACAATTCACAGTGAAACATCCGATATAGAGCGTTATTTGACAATTTCATTACTATAAAATTAAGGGATTTAGTACTTAACAAATC